TATATATATATAAATGTATATATGTATATGTATGTATTCAGGTAGGTATGTTATATTTATGAAAGAAAGAAAAATTCTAATGCAAGAATGAGTTTCGATATAGCAACGGAGAACGAACGAGCGTACGTAATGTGTGTGTATTTGTTGATGTGTAAGAAGTGTTATTTGGCATCATCATTAATGCCCCGTACTTCTATTATTATACTTTGGGCTCTATCTGATACTATAAGGTGTATCCCTCTAATTAATGAATGGATTATTTATCGATTAATAATATGATTTAATGCAACATATATACGAATCGTTAATTGATTTAATCGTTATCGTAATTGTAATAATAATAAAAACTACAGAGTTAGTCGGTGTGTAAGCAAGCAATGCCAGATGATGAGCACGAGGTGTCGGTGGTAGAACAAGAGGAGAATGATGCTGAATGCAACGGGATTATTATTGATGATGAAACGAACTCAAACCAATCCAATGATGATGAAAAGAATTCAGAATCAAAGTCAAAATGTTCTGAATTATTATTGTTGTGTAATAATAATAGTAATAATGATAATAACAAATATGCGAATAAGTCAGCCGCCGAAGCATTATTATATGCAGCTGCAGTGCAGCATGAATATTTTTTGAGGATGAGGATTCATCTTGATAATACTGACCATCAGCATCGTCATAATCGCTCTGACATTGAGTGAGTTTCGTGTTTCGTTAATCATTTGTTTGTTGTGGTCATTGTTACTGTTACTGTGTTTGTATTCAGACGAAAAGTGCCTTTATTGGATGAGCTCATAAGGAGCTTGCCAGTCGTCTCTCATTCAAACGGGTATGAACTATTCGATGAACTCAGAAAAAGGCCACAACAGGTAATAATAACACTGATAGCAAAAAGTTTGTTGACTAACCGAAGTCAGTTCAAGGTAAAATGGATTGGTGAGCCAGGCCAGTCGCCGCTTGCCATACTCAAAGGGCCAATCGGTACGTTTGCGGTGACGAAACGTGAAATTGTTATCGGCAGGGAGTCAACACACTCCACTACGGATCTCATTGTTCAGGTGAGGTTATTTTCGTTATCCGTTACAAGTGTTATCAATTGTGAATTCAGGAGAACAACTATATAAGCAGGTGCCATATGATTCTTTCTTATACGGGCCAGCCAAATCGCTGGATTATTGAAGTAAACGGGAAAAATGGCGTGCTCATCAATGATACCATGTATAAACGCGCTGAAAAACAACCTCAATCTATTCCTTATCGGTACACATATTTATTTACTTATTGTTTTTGCTTTTTATAACGATATTAATAATAATCCTAACACAAATTTCAGCTGTATTTTTCGCTTTCCTTCCACGTCGCTAAAGGTTCTCTTCCAAGGGATGGAAACTCCATTAAATTTGGACGATTATGATTATTACTGCTCATCGTCGTCAACCTCTTCTATATGTTACTCGTTAAACAGTCCTCATAATAATAATAATAATAATAAAATTGATTCAATATGTTCACCTCAGCAACGAGAAAAACCATTATCAAATGATGTTCTTATCAAGTAAGTCAGTCAGTTGATTTCATTAGTGTCCTTTTTATTCAGTGATAATGATAACATTTCTGTATTTGCAGTAATTTATCGTTGACACCAACAACACCTCCGAATAGTACTAACGATAGTAATAATGTGAATAATAATAATAATAATAATAATAATAATAACAATAACAATAACAATAATAATAATAATGACAATGATAAGAATAAGGACAATAATAAAAACAAGAGAAATATTCAAGTAAACTTAAACTGAAATGCGATAATGGTAGTTTTTGCTGTCGTTTTCGTTGCTTTTCTCAGTTCTCATCTGTGTACCAAGAAACGATTAATGAAAACATTCAATACGAAAGCATTAGTCTACATCCTAGACAGCACCACCTTCATCACAGATCACTGCTATTAAGCGTGAATGTCTATTGTAAAATATCAAAACGTTAACAATATAGCGATTAATTTTGACTGAATTAAAACGATGCAATGAATTAAATGCGAATATTGAATCATAGCTATTTCAAAGCGTCTAATAACAATGTTAATAACATTTCCTTCTTTCCAAAGCAACGTTGTAATACCGAACTTTCTTTGCATTTTCAGATTACAAATTGCAAGCGATCTGATAAGAATAAACCATTATGTTTTTCGTTCAGTACATACCATATTGAACGTTTCAATCTTTTTATTCATCATTATGGTTTATTACCATGATAGTAGCACAAACAATCATTTAACAATATTAACAGCAACAATGATTAATAATAATAATAATAATAGTAATAATAAAAATAATAATAATAAACAATGATAAAAATAATAATAAATAATAATAAGAGTAATAATAATTAATAATAAATAATAATAATAATTAATAATACTAAAATTTAAAAAGATTAATAATAATAATAAATAATAATTAATAATAATAATAATTAATAATTAATGATTAATAATCAATAATAATAATAATAAATAATAATAAATAATAATTAATAATAATAATTAATAATAATGATTGATAATAATAATAAAAATAATAATAAATAATAATACTAAAAAGAAGAATAAGATTTACATTCGCACCGTCATCTACATCGATGAAGCTGATCATCTACTGGATTTGTTCAAATTCATTGCACACCTCCCTTCATCTCTATGAAACAAATTAATGCTGCTGCACATCAAACAAACACGATTATAAAATCGAAACCATATCAAACAATGTTAATAGTATCATTATCAATCGCCCGATAAAAGTACAATTAACGTTAGAACGTTTGTGCAAAGCATCGGAGATGATTGATCGGTGCGGCATGCTTTTTTCACACCAATAATGTATGAACTACAAAACTTACCTAGTTTTTGTTTTTGGAGACTATGAAGATAAATGGCGGAAATGACGACGTTCCATGTTACATTATGTTACGAGGAAATTCGGTGATATTCTGATAAATTCATTAATGTCTCAAATATAATACTAGCGTAAATAATCAGATGGACAATGCATACCTTAAAAATTTGTATAACATTCTATAAAACAAGCAACAATATAGGCACTAGTATATTACTAAATTATAAATTTCAAAGTCATTTTTGCTGTTTATAACTTATCAAATTGACATCTAAATATTTGTATATTACACATAATCATTGAATGTTCTCAAACCTGTATATGCACAACAGTTCTCAAATTCACAATTATAATATCATTTATTGCTATTCCCTATTAATCATAGTTTTTTTTGCCAATGAAAATTAAAAACCATCTAATATAATAATGAGTCATTATACAATCGCTATAATTTATATCGCCTAATCAGATGAAGACGAGAGTAGGCAGGCAATCTAGATTGACAAAAGTGAATTTCTACCATAGCACTGAATTCACTTCTCTCAGAATTACCTCCGTACATAACACAACCAGGATTTATTTGTTTATTCATTTACTCATGCATTCATTCACGATATCACATGTCCTCTTACGTGATCCAATAACTGAATTTATTTTGTGTTGCAATGTTGAGGTTTGCATTCATCTTTCTTGTTCTAAACGATTTCAGAATTTTAGTGGATGAAATGAATCAACATTTGGTAAGGACATCATCAGAGAGTAACAAAACAATCAAATAAGTGATATCACATTATATACAGGCTGGATCATTTATGCTTTTTTAATATATTCTTCTTCATAAAATACCTTTGCAGATAGAGCCATTTCTGTGCAACTTTGCATCTTCCACAGATGACTAGTCTAACAATGAGCATAACGACAATTTGAAATTAATACTCTTGAAATTTCACGGTGATTCAGCATTGATCAGTTTAATGATCAAACATATGAGGTTTGGTGACATAACGAAACCGCTTAACCGTGTGATGAACTGAACATTTTTCTCCACATCACATATAGTTTTTTGATACTGAAGAACCTGATGGATTTGATCGTGTAAAGAAAGCATCGTCCTGTTGGGCAAAACCAAGATTACAGGTAACTTGAAAGCAGTACTCTTGATACTCCTGTGGTAGTGCATTGCTGATCAACACAGAGATTAGCTGTATAGAGCAGTGGTTCTCACGCTCGGGTGCTTCATTGCCCATTTTGATGATCTAGCACGCCGCCGTTCCCCCTCCACTGGTATAAACTTTGACGGCGCAACGAAACTGCTCGCTTTCATGGAATAAATTCAGAAAAAACAGCTATATCTCAAAAAGTTCACATTACGTGTCAGTAATATACGTAATTCTCCTTGAATTGATGATCTCCTCGATCCACTGATATGAGGCAATCATAGAGTATCTGAGTGTACACACGACTTCAATATTATACTATTCTCATAGTGAGATGGTGCCTCCAGAAATCTGTGCAACTAATCAAGTATTTTATTCTAGAAAGATCAGAGATAAATCCAGCTAATCTCTAGAGATAAATTGATTAGTTTTTGATAATATCGCGGCTGATATTCATCACACTTCCCATTTCAGTACATAATATTTGATGTTGTTTACCTCGTCTGAGATCCATTGAATACCATTATTTCCATTCATAATCGCTACCAACGAAATCCCATCGGATTTTTTCAACGTTTTCTTAACGCATGCCTGGTTATAATCTCTTCGAATGCTACGAAACCTTTTGATCACTATTTTGACCATTCACTCCGTCTGGCTTGAGTCAGCTTTGTCTTACCATCATGTTTTTCGAAAAAATCTAAATCATTCCTCCAAATTTGTTTCACTATGCCCTAAGGTATGTGTGACGATCTTCTGATGAAATGTTCCTGAATCTATGATTAGATATATTTGCTGAATCACAGTGATCAGATCGATTTTAATTGTGGACTTCAAACTGCTACAATGAACATGAATCACTTGAAACTTCGGTTTATTGAAGGAATAAGCCAGTGTGGTGCGGAGATCAGGGAATTTCGGGGTCCCATATGCAAACTGTGCAAATTTTTCAGTTTAATTGTTTGAGGTGCTATGGTTGGGTTATCTAAATTTCTGTTGCTGTACGGTGTAGGTGGAGTGATGTCTGCTCAACGACGTTTGAAAAGAGAACGAAAAGGCGAAGGTATGATCAAGGGTAGCATCCTGTGGAAGTATTTTATTATTATTACTCTTTTCGTCATTGTTTTCATTGTTGATATCGGTACTGTTTTATTGTTATTATTGTGACTTCGGCTATAACTAAAATTAGAATTGT